GGGGCTGAACTTCAGCAAGATGGATTCTATGAGAAGAGGCTGAGACACCAGGAAAGGTGGAAAGAATCCCAAGCAGGAGAGATGCCAGGCATGAGTTACCCAGGCCAAGAGAAAAGGCTCAATTGCAGTCATTTCTCCAGTATTTTGATCACATATCCATAAATCATTTTTGAGCACACACTCTAGTGTATGTATCTATTTCCACATTAAGCACTTGCATAACTTCTGCTTCGAATGGATGCTAAAAAAATCACAACAAGCTGGGCATGGTGGCTCACGCCTGTAATCCCAGAACTTGGGAAGCTGAAGCAGAAGGATCATTGCGAGTTTGAGACCAGCCTGAGCTACAAAGTGAGCTCAAGGCCAGCCTGAACTGCGTAGAGAGACTCCGTCTCAAAAAAGAAAAAAAAAAAAAAAAAAAAAAAAAACACAACAAAGGGCCAGGGATGTAGCTAAGAGGCACAGTGCTTGCCTGGCAAGTGTGAGGTGGTGAATTAAATTCCTGATACCAGAATACAAAAACAAACAAAAAATCAAAACTTTTGAAAAGATTAAAAATATAAGCTAAAAAGAAAAGTACCAATATTTTCCTCCTGCCACCGCAAACTGCCATGAGACACACCAGAGATTCAAAGCCTGGCTTTATGCCCCGAGGCCCCTCTCCTTTATATGGCCAGGCCATCTCCCCAGACTCCTCAGGCAATCAGAGGCTAGGTTCCACATATGTGGGGGAGGGCAGAGCTGCCCAGACTCTGGGAGGGTAGACTGGGGGCAGTAAATGCTGAATGAGTTTAATCTCCGAGGGGAAGTATCAGAGAATCCTCACGAAAAGTCATGTGGCAAAATTGTCACCTGGAGATTACCAGGAGGATGCTGAGAAATCGAGTAACTTCCTGTGTGGCCAACTTCAGTGCCCATGTGTGTCCTACTGGACCCCACTCATCACCTTGGGGTTGGGCCTGCTTTTTCCAGAGGAATGAGTTGCTGGTATTGAGTGCCACTGTCAGAGCAGGACCAGTGTCCTTTTATGCAGGGGGACACTGGAGCACATGCAGTAGGTCTGTCCATGGGCATCCTCCATCTGAGGGCCAGAGGTCTGGGAGTAATGGCGGATACGGGCCCCTCCTTTCCCACTGGCTGGATAGCTCCCAGGCCCCTGCCAGACGTCTCCCCAGAGGTATCCTCAAGTACTGTTGGTGGTAACTCTTGTAATCCACAAACAAGCCCCCCAGAGTCCCCAACCTTGAGTCCAAAAATGGGGCAAAACATGTTTTTTTAAAAAAGTAGCGCTGATTTATTTTATCCTGGGCCCAGCGACACAGTGCAGTTGGAGTTTGCAAAAGCTGTGTATCTCCCTCAAAACTTTCCAGACTTTTTGTAGAAAACATAGTTTACAAAGTAAGGGGTTATGGGCGTGGATCAGGAAATCTGCTAAGGAATGCGGAAGACCTTTGCTTCCCTTAGCAGAGGACAGAGAAGTCTAGCAGGAATTAACAATCCTTTATCAACTTATTTTAGCACAACATCTGTTATTTATAGAGGGCAACAATGGTTAACATATCAACTAGGTCAGGTTCCCAGAGATTTACAATTCTTTACAGGGGAGAGCATTGACTAACATATCAATTAAGTCACCCAGAAAAAAAAAAACGCATACAGAACAGTATGGCGGCATTACAGGTACTTTGGTCGTATAACTTAGGCATAACACAAACATAACGAAGCTCTTTTTGCTAGTGTACAGCAGTAACCACTTACTAGCACACCCTATACTGGGCTCCTTTTTTCTCTTCTTCGTCTCATTCCCTTCTCCTCATATAGCTTGTTGAATAAACTACTTGCACTCCAATTCTTGTCTGGAGTCAAGGCAGCTCCTGGCAGGTGGTATGACTTATGCGGGGTACCTGTACTAGTCCCTCCTCCTGGGTCCTGGCAGACATCACCAATCAGTCACCAGAGGCTTTTCTGGAAGCCTAGAGTTCTCAGGTCAGGAGTTGGCAGGTGAGCTAACACCTGTCACCAGCCACAGAACCTAACTGGGATCACTGTCCCCTGGCTTCCAGCCCTTAGCGCAGAGTGAGCCAATGCCCAGGTGAACCAGGTGAAGTGGGTGAGGTGGAAAGGGAAGAAGAGGATCCCTTTCACAGGATTCACAGAACAGAAAGAGAGAGAGAGAGAGAGAGAAAGAGAGAGAGAGATAGCTTAGTGACAACACTCAATCATCAGGCCCTAGATATGGAAGATAACAGATTAAACTGACATTGTTTAAGTGCCTGGGAACAATCTCCATGCCAAGGTCTTTGAAGGCATCTCCACCCTCCTCTTGGGCCCTTACCAATGACTTGTCCAGTGCCTGCACTAGGCAGTGACAGCGTCAGCTACAAATAGAGGACTGGGACGCCAAAGCCTGGGCTCTTCCTCTGCCCTGTGCTACCCTGCACATGATATGGGGCCTCAAAGGTGAGCCCCGAATGCACTATGCCTGTCGTTATTCAGCATTCTGTGTCCTAGAGTGGCCAAGGTGTTCTGACCATCACCGAACTATATTCTTCTTGGTTAAGTATTAGGGCGACAGTGGGGAGCCAGGAGGGTTTGCTAGCTTTTTCCATATGAACATGGTTGCAAACCAAAACAATACAATTTGTCAGACTATGTGTTCTGATTTTTTTTTTAACTGACAACAAATGGTTAACAAATTGTTATCTGTGGTGTACAACTGTAAAGCTGTAATATATATGCTTTTTTTTTTGAACTACTGAAGGTAGAAGGCAAGACTTTGCACATGCCAGGCAAGCTCTTGACCATCAGAGCTACAGCCCCAAGTCTTTTTGTTCTATTCTATTCTACTTCATTCTATGCTACTTTATTTTATTCTATTTTACTTTATTTTGAGTTAAGGTGTCGCTAAATTACCCAAGCTAAGTTCAGACTTCCAAACCTCCTGCCTCAGCTTCTTGAGTAGCTGGAATTAGCAGAGTCTATGCTGCACATACATACGGTGAAATGGCTTCATTGAGCTAATTAGGATACCCATTAACTCACGCACTTAGCAGTTTTGTGATAAGAACATTTAAGATCCACATTTCTGGCAATTTCAAAGTACACTCCACATTTCAAGTAGTCACCACACTGTACGAGGTGCTGTTGCAGAACATGGTGAACATGGTGATTGCTGCTACCAAGGGACATCCAGAAGCAAGGCGGGGGCCTTTGAGGTAAGAAGTGCTGTGTCAAACCGTAGCAACAGTATGTGACAAGTTTCATCTCCAGCAGTGCAGTCGGTTGTGAGCTATGATTGTGAGGAAGTGGGTTTTTTTTTCTTGTCTTTTTGAGACAGGGTTTTGCTATGCAGTTCAGGCTGGCCTTGAGCTCACTTTGCAGCTCAGGCTGGCCTTGAACTCACTTTGCAGTTCAGGCTGGCCTTGAGCTCACTTTGCAGTTCAGGCTGGCCTTGAGCTCACTTTGCAGCTCAGGCTGGTCTTGAACTCCCAATTATCCTCCTGCCTCAGTCTCCAGAGTGCTGGGATTACAGGCATGAGGCACCACGCCCAGCGGAAGTATGTTTTAAGTTGTACCGTAAATCATGAATTGTGAGCAATACATTAGCAGAAAATTTGGGGGGAAAAACATGAAAATGTGTCAGTTTCATTGGAGTTGTGAGTTCCTGTCACATCAGAGTCTAGCTTTTTAAGAAACATTATCATGGGAGGTGAAACCTGGGTCTATGGTTATGATCCTGAGACTGAGGTTCAGAGTTCTCAATGGAACTCATCCAGTTCTCCTTCTACAGTAGAAGGAGGAGGAGGAGGAAGAGAGGAGGAAGAGGAGGAGGAGGAAGAAGACTTGGTAATCAAGATTCAATATCAAAATGGTAATCAATGGTAATCAAGATTCAATATCAAAATGATGTTTTTTGGCCCTGAAAGTATTATACAAGCTGAATTTGTCTCTGGAACATTATGGAGAATGCTGAATAGTATATGGGCTTATTAAAGCATTTCACAAACTACGTGGGTAGAAAACACCCTGAGAAATGGGCAGTTTCACCCTTCATCACGACAGTGCTCCAAGTCACGTATCACTTCGGGTACAGCAATCTCTGTCAAAAACACATGGTGACCCTCATCCACCTTATTCACAGGATCTGGCATGATGTGATTGGTAGCTCTTCCCCAAAGTCAAAATGACCAGGAAAGGCAAACGTTTGAATTGATCCAAGTCTTCAAGTCTGCCATGACAGAGCAACTAAAGCTACTCATGAAAGAGGACTTGCAGAACTGCTTCAGAAAGTGGCAAGAACAATGGGATACATCTGTCTGAAGAGATAGGGAATATTTTTTAGGGGGATTAATGTCAATATGTCTTAGGGTAATACATTTTTTAAATTTTTATTTATTTATTTTTTTTTTGGTACTGGGGATCGAACTCACAACCTTGTGCTTGCCAAGCAGACACTTACGCCACTGAGCTAAATCCTGGGCCCTGTAATACATTTTTGTTTGTTTGTTTTTTGTTTTTTTTGTTTTTGGTACCAGGGTTCAAACTCACGATCTTACGCTTGCCAGGCACGGACTTACACCACTGAGCTAAATCCCCAGCCCTCTCTAATACATTTTTAAAATTTAAACATTCCCCATATTTTTATCAGAGCTCATATAATAGCTCTCCAGAACTTACTCTTCCTGTCTAAATGATACTTTAAGCCCTTTGACCAATCTCTCTCCACCCTCAAGAATACCACAGTCTATGCTTCTGTGAGTCTGATTTCTCTCTCTCTCTCTCTCTCTCTCTCTTACTTTAGATTCTACATCCAAGTGAGGTCATGCAGCATTTTGTGTTTCAGTGCCTGGCTTGTTTGATTTAGCACAGTGTCTTCCAGGTCCATCCATGTTGCTACAAATGACAGGCTCTCCTTTTTAAATAAGGCTGAATACGATTCCACTGTGAACATATACCAGCTTTTCGTTATTCATCCATCCACACTGTGTTCTGATTTTTAGATCTGGAGACTGCAATCATCTCTGGAGAGACTGGGAGGGGAAATAGAGACGCAATGAGGTCCCGACCCCAGGAGACTCCAGGAATCCTCATTCCCCTGTGGGTACTGCTGAGCTGCTGGTTCTGAAAGTATTTTCTTTGGAAACTACTTCTTTGGAGGGTTGGGACATCCAGATAGTCCTGGGGAATAGAAAACTTGTTCTTTGCTAGAATATATTTAAAAACAAGACAATTGCATGCTTCTTCTGGCATCTAAAGCATTTTTGGAAAGTGCTAAAATCTTACTTAAAAAAATTGAAGACCAAGAAGCAAGCTCTCCCTGAGAACCAGCACTATTCATGGGCCACTGCCAGTGGGGAAGACAGCCAGACCCCAGCCTTTTCCTGTGAGTCACCACCACTTGCAGACTGCGGGGAAGAGAACAAGAATTCACAAAGAAGCAAGCCCTCCCTGTAAACCAGCATCATGCATGGGCCCCTGCCTCCTGGGGACAGCCAGACCCCAGCACCTTCCAGCACACAGGGTGGGAAACAAGCAGAGCCAATCTCTGCAGCCCCTTCCCCCACCGCCCTAAGTGACCGGCAGATCCTGAGAAACAGACAGTGACCGTAGCTATTGTGGTGAAATGCAATCTGATGCTTGTGGTGTTTAGTGTTCAACTGACTTTGCAGATCGAGGGCCAGTGGTCTGATCATCCATTCAGAGGAGAAGAGGATGCAATGTGGCATCTGTGGGGTCTCTCCTTCTGAAGGTGATAGCCATTGTTAATTCGCTATTATCTTGTTTTGAAGTCCTGTATCATTTTCATTGTTTTGTTGGGTTGGGTTTTATTCTGTGTCATTTTGTTTGATTTTATTATATTCAATGGCATGGACAGCTATTTCAAAGATAGTAAGATATATCATGATAGCCATTTTGGATTTACTATTGTCTTACTTTGAAGTCCTTTATTGCATTCATTGTTTTGTTTTTACTGTGTATTCTGTTCTGTTTTGTTTGATTTTTACTATGTCTGAAGATATCTGCAGCTATTTTGAAAACAAAATTGTTGATTTCGTATTGTTTTGAAGTCCTGTGTCACATTGCTTTGTTTTGATTAGCTTTATTCTGTTTTATGTTGCTTGGTTTTATTCTCTTTAAAATAAAAAAAAAATTAAAAGTGTCTCTAAAATCAAGCAGTTGGGCCTCTGCATTTCCATATTGTTTTCATTTATTTGCCTTCTACCCTGCATGTAGGGTAGGAGGAGGCTCTGCTTCCTTTGAATGGGGCTATTCCAGCCGGGCAGGGGAGTCTCCGGGAGAAGCTGCACGTGTCCACCACACACCCAAGTTCACCAGCATGGCTCAGTCTCCTTGCCTGTCCCGCAGCTGGCAATTCCCCCAGCCCAGCTCTGCTAGGCGTGGCTTTGATTTTCGATGCTAGATTTTAGATTTTAGGAAGTCTGTCCCCACCACCCCAGGTCAAAGATGCATCCTTGAAAAGCCCTTGAGCTTTGACAACAAGGTCAAGCAATGTGGCCTTGTTTGAAGCCCAGGCTGTGCCATAGGGAAGTCTTGCTTAATTTTGTGTGTAAAATGGGATCCCTGCCCCTTCCTCTTAGAGTTGATGGAGTAAATGAAGTGAGAGAACAACATAGGCTCCCCAGGAGGGAGTGGCCTGCCCCACGGGGAGGCCAAGTGTGTGAGTTAACCGCCTCAAAGCCCCATCTGTGAATGCAGATGACTGTATTTTCTCTTCACAAATCCTTCTTGGGAAATGCAAATAAATATTCAGAGTAGGGCCAAATAAATACAGTAGTGGCACTTACAGTCACATATCACTTAACAGCATGGAGACATTCTGAGAAAAGCTTCCTTAGGTGACTTAATTCCTGTACAAACATCTCAGTGTATCGTTACACAAGCCGAGAGCTATGATGCTGGGAAGCCATATAACCTTTTGGGACCACTGTGGTATTAATCCGTCCTTTGTTGATTGAAATATTGTTATGCAGTGCATGGCTGTGGGTTTTGACAATGCTCTCTGTCATTTATTCATTTACAGTGTTCATTAATGCAGAATTTTCTCATTTAACACCCCCCCCCCAATGACTATTAACGCTTACAACTAGGGTACACTGTTCAGACTTGTAAGCTGCTGCTCAGATGTATCACCTAGGTTTGGACTTGACGCAGAAATGAGCAGCAGTGCAACATTTTGGTGGCTTTGTCTTCTACTGTAACTTTGCTGATGTACTATGCAGTATAGTAGCTTTGGGTTTTGTGGTACAATGCTACCTGTGAGATTAATGCAAATCGAAGCAAAGTCATCAACTTGGAGTCTCCTTTGACCCTTTCTTTGTTCTGAATATTGCAATGTACATACTATATATAGTATGTAAGACAGGATGAGGGAGAGGTTTTCTTTTTAAATGAGAGGGAAGCTTGTGGAGGGTTTGAGCAAGGGAATAATATGATTTGAGTCCAGCTTTGAAAACTCCAGCTCCCCCGGTAGCTGCCAACTGGACAGCAGAGGTGAGAACAGAGGCAGGGAGACAGAAGGCCCAGCAGGCATCTGATGAGAAACGCTGACTCTGTTAGAAGGAGCAGTCAGAAGTACCCATTTGGGGTTGCTGATGTAGCTTTAAGCTGAGGCGGCATGATTTCCTGATTGATGGCACCCAGGGCAGGACAGGAACAAGGGAAGCAAGGTGGACACCAGGGTTTTAAGGAGCCATCAGTGTTCCCCTTCCCTGAGACAGAAAAGACAAAGAGAGGCATGTCAGAAGGCCAGGAAATGTCAGGTTTAGGGTGCTGTCAGACTCTCGGGCAGAGAGGCCGTGGAGCAGGGTGGTCAGCGTAAAAGTCTAGAGCTGGGAGTGGTGGTCTGGGCTTGAGTCGAGACTGTGTCATATCAGCAAGAAGTGACCGGAAGGGTCGAAGGCCTGACTTTGGGGCGCTCGCCTAAGGCAGAGAGAGGCTGGAGGGGAGTGTGTTCAAATCAGGAGTGTGTGGGAGGTGCTGCGATCTGCGGTCCAACGAGGTGGGTCACGTGGCAGGAAGTCCTAGCACCGCAGAAGTGCAGGGCCCGCAGGTGCCTTCCACGAGGAAAAGCAGCAGTGCAGTTGGATGGGACCCCAAGGGACCCCAGCAGGTGTGGTTTAGGCTGGCTCAGGAACAGCAGTGCCGGTGAAAGAGGGCGACAGCCCTGCCCAGGGCTGAAAAATGGGCACAGCAAGAGCCCAGCTGCCCCTGGAGAGGCTGCAGAGGATGCTTCGCTCCAGCTGTGTGAGCTGGGCTCTGTCTCCGGAAGAGACCGCAATGCTTTCACTTTACCCCCAAGTTAAAGGAGGAAAGGTTTATTTCAACTCACAGTTCACAGAGGTTTCAGTTCATAGCCAGGTGGCTCCAAGGCAGAGTGGCATGGCAGCGGGCATTGTGGAGGAGAAACAGTCCTTGGCAGAGCCGGCAGGGAGCAGCCAGCCTGCCTTCCATCTTTCTCTTTATATTCTATCCAAAACCAGACATCGTGACATATTCCTGTAATCCCAGCACTTGGGAGCCTGGGGCGGGAGGATTGTTGTGAGTTCAAAACCACCCAAAACTACATAATGAATCCCTGTCTCCGAAAACAAACAAAAAAGAAAAATCATTCCAAGCTATGAGCCTGGTGGTTGGTGCCACGCACACTCAGGATGGGGCTTCCCACCACCCACACCCAGAACAATGTTAAACCAATCAGTAGACAAACCTAATCATCACACCCTTAATCCACATTTCTTTACCCTCCATCCAGCTGCCCAACCGAGGGTTTTTGGGGGACATCTAGATATAAATCATAACTGTTTATTCACCATTACTTAAAAAGGTGAATAAAGGAAGGGAGAAAGGGAAAGGAAGAAAGAAAGAAAAAGAAAGAAAGAAAGAAAGAAAGGCAAAGAAAAAGCAAAAATACCAGCACTAGAGAGGCTGAGGCGGGAAGATCATTGAAGTTCAAGACAAGCGTGGGCTATGAAATGAACTCAAGTCCAGCATGAACTGCATAGTCTCTGTTATACTAAGATGCTGAAAAATTAAAATAATTGGGCTGGGGATTTAGCTCAGCAGCATAAGCGCCTGCCTTGCAAGCAGGCAGTTGTGAGTTTGATCCCCGGTACCGATAAAAGAGAAACAGACATTTTTCCCTATAATACAGAGAGAGTAGATATATATGTAGAAATTCACACATGAGATTTTTTTAAAAAATTATTTACAGGGAGCAGATTATATAATGCAAGATGTAATGAACAGATACTCTGAAGAAGAGACACTAAGAAACCCAATGCTAATTTTGTAGCATTATGATTTAAATTCTAGCAATACTATTATTCACTGACCAGAATGATTTTAGTCTAGTCTCTTGAGTTCAATTTCAGCATATGTAAAGGTGGGGATGGCTATCACGAAGAGAATGTGAGATGCGATAGTAGTTATTATTGTCTTCCCCAATGTTAGATCTTGAAGACCTAAAAAGCCTTCATCATCCTGTAATGATTTGATTAGTTCTATAATATGCAATATGTATATAATGTGGGTGAAGATGGGGACAACTATTTGTAAGAAACTAGAGACAGTTAGATAGACAGTGAAGATCTCCAGTGGACTTGCTCTGAAATCTGTATTTCTTTAAATTGTTTTATTAACTGTTTTGTTCTGTTTTGATATGTTTAATCTTACCCTCTTTGACATGTAAAACAAGTGTGTAGGACTGATAACCATATTACTGAGTTTTTGTTCCATCATTGAGCAGAACTGTTTGCAGTGTCACTTTTTGAATGTCATTTTAAATACATTAATTTTGTAACCTAAACAGCTATTTCTAAGATGACAGTATGTAACTTATCAACCAGCGATTTCTTACCATTTATTTTTCTGTAATTTTGTATTATTTCTACCCTTTTTTATCTGTGTATTTTTTTGTTTCCTTTTCTTTAAATAAAAAAAGAAAAAGACAAAAAATTTAAAATAATTGATTAAAAGATAATTAGCAAAAATAGTTAGTTAAAAAGATAGTTATCAGCAGTATTGTCATTCTGTACTGAGCTCATTACCCTAGTAACCAAAAACCAACCACAGTTATACATTAACTGACAGTTGTTATGCTGTTCTGTACATGTCGCCCCCCCAAATAACCTGTGTGCTATGTCAACCTTTGTTCCCCTTGTAAGAGAAAAATGATGCTGTGTCAACCATTGTTCCCTTGATGAGAGACAAATGTTCCTGGAATTGGCAGACCAAGGGGTATGAATTGCCTAACCACCCACCGTGAAATGCCTCTGAGCTCAAGCAAAGGGGAACAAAGGCCCAGCTTGTTTCTGTTTCTCATCACTATGTACTTAATGATCAATGAGCTAATCATAAATGAACTATAAAAATCAGTCGAAATTCTGACCCAGTTGCACGGCTTTGCAAATTCCATCTGCACTGTGTCACTGGGGCAGCTAAAATAAAAGCGCTTCTTGTAAAAAAGACGTCTTGCCCCGTGTATCATTTCGGGGGTCTTGCCTGTTTTTCATCATGGGGTCTTTTTGTGGGTGGGTTACAACAGTCTCAAAAAGACAAAAAAAGAAAGAAGAGAAAACAAAAGTGAAAAAATAAAAGAGAGTAGAAAAAAGGAAGAAAGGAAGGGAGATAGGAAGAGAGAAAGGTGGAGTGAAGGAAGGAAAAATGGAAGGGTTGGATGGAAGAAAGAGAAAGAGAAAGAAAGAAAGGAAGGAAGAAAGGAAGGAAGAAAGAAAGGAATTCCAAATGGCCTTAGGATTAGTCTTCTCTGAGGATTTTTTTTTTTCGTCTTTTTGAAACAGGGTCTCGCTATGCAGTTCAGGCTGGCCTTGAGCTCACTTTGTAGCCCAGGCTGGTCTCGAACTCACAGTGATCCTCCTGCCTCAGCCTCCCGAGTGCTGGGATTACAGGCGTGAGCCACCACACCTGGCACGAGGATTAATTTTTGAAAGAATCCTTGTCTTATCTTCAGCCACCTCTAGTAATCATCTTGGTAGCTTCGGTGTCTAGAATGAGCCAATAATGCTTGCGGGATGAATGAACTGGGCGCTCCACCTTCTAGTCAGGTGAAGATTCCTCCACTGGTTAAGACTTTGAACTCCTGAGAGAAACAACAGCCCCCAGCTCCTGCTCTGCTCCCTCTCTGCTCCCCTTC